AAAGAAAGTCATAAGATTAACTGCTCGGTGTAAACAATTTACACAATATAAATTCCTGTTAAGTATGACAAGACTAAAAAACAAATGAAAAAGCTTATGCTGCACTGTTCTATGATTATACCATTTATCTGTATTCATAGTTGAATATCAAGGATCCTGACAGAGACATGAATGAAGAAGATTGAACCTTGTGAAAAGATGAGTTTGGGTCATGCATAAACAATTAAGGATGAAAAAGGTACAACTGACTTAGGCACGGATAACCTCAATTGTTTTAATCAATGAATTAGCACTTGAAGAGGCTATAACTATTAGCCAAAAAACAAAATTACAGGGTACTTAGCTGTGTTACATAATATTAATGTAATCAAGCTAAGGTATAATAACAATACTACAGCTAAGAAGCAGCAGAGATGGGTAGCAAAGGAAAGCACACAGAAAGAGATCTGTAGCTACTGAGTGATATCTTTCTAACCTATTGTGTGTGCGTGTGTGTATGAGAGAGAACGAGGGAAGTCTACACTCATAGTATGTCAACTTCCTTTCTTTATCCTCTTTTGACATATCTCTTGAAAGGGAAAGCTGAGGTCAAATGATGGCACCACCTTTCATGTAGGTATCATCACCTTGCCTTCTGGTTATTGAGATGTATAATTCCAGAAGGGTTATACCAGCAGCATGATTACTGCTATGCAAGTATAACTACAAATCACAAATTCCCATATCAAAATATACACACAAGAAAACAGTCAAATCTTAAAGATTCCAGAACTACAGAAATTAAATAATTTTTGCATGAGTTATTAAATAACAAAATAGCTAAAACTTCATGTGTGCATATACAATAACAATTACATAGTTGCTAACGGAGACGCTGATTAGCCTTTCATATTGCAAAAGTGAATAGAAAGAAACAAACCTGAACCACTAAGACCAGTAATCCATATGACACAGCCTTTCTGCTGAAGTAAACGTTGCCTATCAAGTTTCTCCACTGAGC